ACCATAACTGTTGAGTGAAAAACGGCTTTTTCTATTTTTGACTGAACAGACTGTTAGTCAGGACAAATCTGACTTGAGGAATTGAAAACATGAAAAATCCATACAGAAGGCTGATGGAGACAGAAGGAGCTCCATCCTTCACCGCTGATGAGCTGCCAGGCTATCTGGACAGGAAGTGCAACGCATTCTGATCGGCAGAGAGCTTTACAGCTTCATCAAACTGCGCCTGAAACAGTCGACTAACCTGAGGAAGAGGAAGATGGCCCTGCGGTAGCTGACCCCATCTACGTTGTCATAGTGATCCATGAAGGGCTTGATTGCGTCGATGAGGCCCGGATGAAGCTTTTCAGCCTCATCGAAGATGAACAGAGTCTGAGGGCAGCGCAGCACCATGTCTCGGATTGCTTCTCTCAGCTGACCCTGGATTTCAGGCAAAAAACAAACAAACAACAAAACAAAAGTCAAACATTATTAACATTTTATAACATTTCAGATCTGACAAAAGCTGATTATTATTTCCTTTCAAGCTTTATATATAAAGATATTAAACTGTGCATAAAATATTACTAAGATGAGATGAGATGAGATGAGATAAGATAAGCTTTATTAGTCCCACAGGTGGGAAATTTGTTTTGTTACAGCAAAAGTGCAAAGTTATGTAGCAGAAATTAGAAAACACTGGAATGCAATAAAATACAATAGAATAAAATAGAAATACAAATACAAGAATACAACTTCGTCAGAAGAAGAATTGCACATATAGCAGTCTTATTGCACATGTGTGGGTTTCTGTGTTTGATCAGCTGTAAAAGTCTTTATTGTGGAGTCTGACTTAAACCAACAGCCGACATTTATCAAGAATGTTTTAATCTTTTTAAACAAATATATAAATGAATATATAATATAAACAAACGAAAATATAAATGTGCCATTGTTGGTAAAAGTTCTTTAAAAGAATTAGCCCTGTTATATGCCACAGAGGTTCAGTGGGAGGCTGTACGACAACACGTAGACACGTTAAAGTCCACATTTGCACACTCTGCAGACTTTGAGGGCATGAGGGGAAAGGTTATCCCGTGAACTGCATATACCGATTTATATTTGGATAGCTCTGTACTATGCACCATGTATTAATACTATGTAAACACAATTTTGAAATCAGCTGCAGTGATTGTGAAAAAATGTGCACAAATGAGACTGAGCCGGCACCTCTGACCCGGTTGGACAAACGCCAGGTTCCAAACATCCATTTCTCTGAGTATTTGTGTCGCAGCATCAGTGTTGACTTAAAGCATCTGTCCAAACCATGACTGCTATCACTCATGATGAATTACAACACAGAATAAATATCTATGTAAGCAAAGCAGCGTCCAGAGAA